GAAGGGACAGACATTGCTCTCCGCCCCAACCCCACTGTTGTGGGAGCGACACTAAGATCTACGGGACCTTGGGTGCTTTGAAAATGACAGAATGAAGGAGCAAAATGCAATCTCTGACCTCCACCCCATCCAGAACAAGTCCAGAAGGCATCAACATAGAAGAGCTTGGAAGTCACACACCTGAAATTTCTTAAATGAGAGCAACTAAAGTAAAGAAACAACTACAGCAGGCTATAGAGGAAATCAGATCAAATAATCTCTCAGATAAATAAAGAAATGACAACCATAATGAAAGAAATGCTCATCAAAAAGTCACAGATAGGGCCGAGGATATAGCTCAGTAGCACAAGCACCTGCCTGGCAAGCGCAAGATTCTGAGTTTGATTCCTGATACCAAAAAAAAAAAAAAAAAGAAAGAAAAAAAGAGAAAAGAAGGCATAGATAAAAAAGAGGAGTACAGAAAAATTATGAAATCCTGGAATGAACAATAAAGAAAAAATTAGAATGCATGAAACAGATTCAAAGAGATATCCAAGAAATTAAAAATTCCATTGAAAGCTAGCAAAACCACCTGAATGAAACTGAAGACAAACTTTCAGACCTTCAAGACAGCATTTCACCTAATGATCATGAAAGGAAAGACCTCATAAAAATAACAAAAAAAACAAGAAATAACAATTCAACAGCTGCAAGATGATGCAAAAAAATATAAGACTGATAAGTGTCAAAGAAAAAGCAGGAGTCAACATGAATGACATAAAAAAGCTATTTGCAGAAGTAATAGCAGAAAATTTCCCAAGCATGGGAAAAGAATCTGACATACAGTAAGTGAGGTACATAGAACTCCAATTAGTAATAACCAACCCAGACACATAATAATCAACAGCCTAGAAATTCACCAAAAGAACAGAATACTAAAAGCTGTTAGAGGAAAGAAACAGATCACCTATGAAGGAAAATCCATCAGAATCATGGCAGATTTCTCAACACAAACCATCAAGTCAAGAAGAGCTTCGAGTGAAGTATTTCAGGTCCTGAAAGAAAACATCCAACCCAGATTGATGTACCCTGCAAAACTATCTTTCAAAATTAATGGAGAAATAAGATACTTCCACGACAAAGAACAAGTTAAGAAATTCATGACCATCAAACCAACCTTACAAAGAGTACTGAAAGATATTCTAGAAAGAGATAAAGATGACCACAATTCCAAGAAACCACCAAGCAGGGCAAGCAATTAAACAGAGGGGTAAAGCAGGGAACCAACATCTGGAAAATAACATGACAAAGATAAGCCAATACGTATCAGGTAATAACCATAATATAAATGGCCTCACTTCACAATCAAAAGAAACAGACTGGCAAAGTAGATCAAGAAACAAAATTCTGAAGGAAATTCTAAAAAGAGATAACAAGGATTAAACTCCATGAACTCCAACAGAACGAATCTACCAGCAAAGGAAACAATTAAACAGGGGCAATGAGGAAAGGAGGATCCAACAACAGGAAAATAACATGACAAGGATAAATCAATACATATCAGTCATAATCATCAATGTTTTTGTTGTTTGTTTTATTTTTTTTACCATCAATGTCTCAGTTTTTTACCATCAATGGTCTCAGTTTACCAATCAAAAGACACAGACTGGCAGAATGGATCAAGAGGCAAGATCCAATGACATGCTGCAAGAAACACATTTAATCCAAAAAGAAATTCATAGACTGAAAGTCAAAGGATGGAAAACAATACTATATGACAAGAACCTGGACAAAAGGAGAGGTAGCTATTCTATTTGCAGACAAAGTAAATTTCAAGCCAAGACTGACTAAAAGAGACAAAAAGGTCATTGTATCCTTGTAAAGGAAACAATCCAAGAGAAAGAAGTAACAATCATAAATATATATGTACCAAATACCAGTGCACCGAACTATGTAAAACAAGTATTAATGGATATGAAAAATCAAATTAGCACTAATACAATTGTAATGAAGGCCCTCAATACCAAACTGTCACAAATAGATCAACTAGACAAAAAAAAAAAAAACAACAATGAAATAATATAACCAAACCAAACTTTTGAACAAATGGACTTAGTATACGTCTATGGTGTTCCATACCACAACATCAGAACACACATTCTTCTCAGCTATGCCCAGGTCATTCTCCAAAATGGGCTGACCACTAGTTCACAGGACCTGCTTAAGTAAATGTAAAAGAACTGAAATTATCCCATATGTATTACCAGACCATAGTGCAATGAAACTGGCAAAAGAAACCACAGAACTTCAAAAACACATGGAAATTAAATAACACCCTCTTAAAAAACCAATGGGCCACAGATGAAATTAAAGAATAAATTAAACAATTTCTACAATTAAATGGTAATGCCAATACAACATACCAGAACTTATATGACGTAGTGAAAGCTGTCGTACAAGGGAAATTTATAACAATGAATATCCATATCAGGAAAACCGAGCAAGCTCAAATGCACAACTTAGCATTGAAACTAAAGCCTCTAAAAAAGTAAGAACAAGTCAAACCCAAAGTTTGTAAAAGGGAGAAAATGATTAAGATCAGAGCAAAAACCAATGCAATGAAGACTAAAAAATATACAAAGAATTAATGAATTGAAAAGTCAGTTCTTTGAAAGACCAAATAAAATCGACAAACCCTTAGCCGACCTTATCAAAAAAGGAAAGGAAAGACTCAAATTCATGTAAGTAAGAATGAAAAGGGTGAAGTCACCACAGATCCTCAGAAATCCAGATCATCAATACCTTTGAGAACTTGTATTCTAAGAAGATGGAAAACACAGAAGAAATGTACAGATTCCTAGGTACATATGAATTACCAAAATTGAATCAAGAATACATAAAAATTCTCAATAATCCAATATCAGTCAATGAAATTGAGACGTAATTAAAAACATACCAACAAATAAAAGCCCAGACCCTGACAGATATACTCCTCAAACTCTTTCATGAAATTCAAAGGGAAACAATATTCCCAAATTCATTGCTGGAAGCCAATATTATCCTGATACGAAAACCAGACAAGACCCAACCAAAAAAGAGAATTACAAGTCAATCTCCCTCATGAACATAGATGCACAAATCCTCAATAAGATATGGCCAAACAGAATACAGAAAATCATCAAGAACATTATACATCATGACCAAGTATTATTCATCCCAGGGATGCAAGGATAGTTCAACTTATGCAAATCAATAAATGTAATACACCATATTAACAGAGCCTACAACAAAAACCATATGATCATCTCAAGAGATACAGAAAAACCTTTGGACAAAGTCCAACACCCATTCATGATAAAAACTCTACAGAAAATTGGAATAGTCTTTACCTTAATCTGCCAAAAGCCATCTATGACACACCAACAGCCAACTTCATACTAAATAAACAAAAACTGAAAGTTTTCACTCTACAAGCAGAAATAAGACAAGGATGTCCATTGTCACTACTCTTATTCAATACAGTTCAGCAAACATTAGCCAGAGCAATTAGGCAAAAGAAAGGAATAAGGATAGGTAAGGAAGAAGTTAAATTATCATTATTTGCAGATGACATGATACTTTACATAGAAGACCCCAAAATTCCACCAAGAGACTTCTATATTTAGTAACCAAATATAATAATGCAGCTGAATACAAAGCCAACACTCAAAAATCAATAGCCTTCTTGTACACAAATAACTTACTCACTAAGAGAGAAATTAAGAAAACCACACTTTTTACTATAGCATTCCCCAAAATGATTTTTTTTTTCTCAGTACTGGGAACTGAACTCACAACCTTGTGCTTGCTAGGCAGGCACTGTGCCACTGAGCTAAATCTCCAGCCCCAGCATCCCCCAAAATGAAACACTTAGGATCAATCTAACAAGGGAAGTAAAAGACCTCTACATTGAAAACTACAGTACTCTGGAAAAGGAGATTGAAGATACCAGAAAATGAAAAGATAATCCTTGTTCTTGGCTCAGAAGAACCAATATAGGTGAAAATGGCCATACTCCCAAACTGCTACAAAGATTTAATGCAATCATGATCAAAATTCCAACAGCATATGTCATAGAATATGGAAAACAATCCTAAAATTTATTTGGAATTGGGGCTGGGGATATAGCTCAGTGGCACAAGTGCCTGCCTAACAAGTACAAGGTCCTGAGTTCAATTCCCAGTACCAAAAAAAATTTTTTTTTTAATTTGGAATAATAAGACACCTAGAATAGCAAAAACAATTCTGGGCAATAAAAGTAAGGCAGGAGGCATCACAATCCCTTACTTAAAATTATACTACAGAGCTACTGTGATCAAAAAAAGAGCAGGTGCATAGAACTGGCAAAAAAAAAAAAAAAAAAAAAAACCCTAGAATTGATGGAATAGATTAGAGAATGCAGAAATAACTCCAGATACCTTTATCTTTGACAAACGAGCCAAACACCTTCACTGAAAGAAAGATAGACTTTCTAATAAGTGGTACTAGAAAAACAGGCTTTCCACATGCCAAAGATTAAAACTACACCCGTATCTTTCACCACGCATTAAACTAAAATTGAAATGAATCAGAGATCTAAGTATAAAAACAGGAACAATCTGCTAGAAGGCAGAATAGGTAAAACTCTTGAAAATACAGGTATAGGGAATGATTTTATGAACAAAACCCCAATCACACAGAAAATATTACAAAGAATCAAAAATTAGGATCTGTTATGGTTTGTGTCTGGATGTGCCCCCAAAGCCTCATGCAGTCATGGGGTGGGCTTCTAGAGTTTTTGATTAATCCATGGTCCAATGCTGGGATTATGGGTGTGAGTGCTACACTCACCCTGGAGTGGGTAGTTTGCATACAATGTAAGGGAGGGAAAGAGGCTTCTTGCTGCTACTCCTCCCCTTTTGCTCTTGCTGCCTCTGCTGTCTTCCACAGCCATGAACTGTTGCCCTCTGCCATGTGCCACTCTGCCTTGGAGCCAGCTGAGTACGGACTGAAACCTCTACCTGTTGAGTGTTTTGTCTCTGCAATGAGATAAAAGTAACCAAGACAGGACCATACTATATTAAAAAGCTTTTCCATAGCAAAAGAAACCACCAACAGAGTGAAGAGACAACTCACAGAATGTGAAAAAATGTACAAGCTATTCCTCAGATAAAAGACTAATATCTAGACTGTATAAAGAACTCAAAAAAATCAGACCCTCCCCAAATTTAAAGACTCGATCCAAAAATGGGCACCTGAAAGGAACAGAAATATCTCAGTTCAAGAAATAGAAACAAAAAATATATAAAAAAATAGTCAACATCATTACAGTGACTCACGCCTGTAATCCCAGCACTTGGGAGGCTGAGGCAGGAGGATCACCTTGAGTTTGAGGTGAACCTGGGCTACATAGTGAGTTCAAAGCCACCCTGCACTACAAAGTGAGGCCCTCCCCAAATAAATACAACATAAAGATTCCATCTCACTCCAAAAGAATGGCTATCATCAAAAAAACAATCAATAACAAATGCTAGTGGGACTATGGGGAAAAGGGAAACTAGATGCCCATTAAGGGATAAAAAGATAAAGAAGTTGTGGTTTTTGTGTACCGTGGAGTACTACTCTGCCATAAAGAAGAACAAACTTGAGACATTATTAGGTAAACGGTTGCACTTTTTTTTTTGGTCTCTTTGAGAGAGGGTTTCACTATGCAGTTCATTCTGTTCTTGAACTCACTTTGTAGCCCAAAACTATTTTCTCTTAGTCCATTGAAGAGAAAGGTTTATGCTAATATTGTTTGGAGAATTGTTTATGCTCATAGCTTGTAACTACTTTAAACATAACAATATATAATGTATTAACTATTGTTGTTCTATTATTTTGTTATGAAATCTTGCTTTACTTTTTTTTCCATAAAAAATAATCTACATAAGTGAACTAAATCAGACACACATGCTTAAATATCACATGGTTTCTGTTTTGAAAAACTCAAATTATAAATAAAGAGCAAAATAAAAGATAGACAATAGGAAGCAGAAAGGATCATGTCTGACCTGAGAGAGACACTCTCAGCAAACATGCTGTCCTCCACGAACAACAGGAACCCCTAACGGGCCATGCTGCCCTCAGCAAACAGAACAGACGTCCATGAAAGAAATTGGACTGGACATATAATCTCCCCAGTGAGTCCAGTATTATCTGCACAGCTGCACTGACTGTCTTGGAACTTTGACCCTGAACATTCTACCCAGAGTCCTTGGGATTATAACCCATTCCCAAACCCCAGGTAAACTTAACTTCTCCTCTGGCCAGCTGCTGAAATCATTCACGATCTCAGCCTGCCTGCACAGACAAAATACATCCAGCCTTTGCTCACATGCAGCCTGTGTCCGGGGTGGCTTCTCATGTGCCTTGGACAACAGAGAGACAAATCTTTCTCGAATAGGAAGGAGATCCAGAGCGGAGGAAGAGGCGCAGGAGGGGAGGGAAAGGGGTGAAAAAAGGAATTAAGATGTGTTATGTACATGTACTAACCCCATACAGGGAATGTAAACATTATGCACTGCAAATGTGTACTAGTAAAAAATTAAGTTAAAATATGAAAAGAGGACAACAAAACAAAAAAGAACCTACCCTACCCTGTCTACCCTACCCTACCCTAGCTCTGCCAGCGCCACATCTATCACAGCTACAGACAAGCGTCCTGGGATTGCTCCTGTGGCCTCCGTCTGCTACTGCACCCTTGGCAGAGTTTGGGCAGGTGGCCGATCAGGAAAAGGACTCAGGACCCAGCCTGTCCTGCGGACACTGATCTTTACTCTGACGTCTCCTTGCGCCTGCACGGCCTCTCTGAGTAACTGGAGAAGAAAGCAGTAGGACTTGAAATCAAGGAGTATCAAGAAGCCAGACCCTCTGCAGACGGTTTCTTCAGACTGAGTAAAACCGCACTGATTAATGTGAGAACTGGCACTTCGTGACACCGACTCTTCTCGCCCTTAAAACGCCCTCTTTGAAAAGTGCATGCGTGTGCACACACTGGTTTCTAAAAGATGTATAAAGGGCAGTTAGGTTACGGATTTGTGGTGCCAAGGAAACCAGGTGACGGCACACACACACTGCATGTGCCCGCCCACAACTCACAGTTGAAACTGGAGAAGACGGCCGGGGCAGACCGCGTGAACTCCCTCCTGCAGGATCACGTCTACCCAGCGATCCCCTCCTCCCTACGGGTTTTGTGCAGTCTCCGCCTTGGGTGCTGTCAGCCACGCATTACTACAACCTAGTACACCCCAGAAATAAAACAAAAAAGTTAAAGGTGTACGGAGTCGGTGTGGAGCTGGGTGTGAGCAAGTTAACGGGGCCGGCTCGGCGGCAGTCTCGAAGCGAGGCTGTCTGCGGGGCCAGCTCCCCGCGACACCCAGACGACAGCGACCGTCGAGGGCGGGAACCGAGGCCGGCAGCGGATGACCGCCCGCGGGCTACTCCCGGGGGGCTCACACCGCCAGGCAAGGCCGCCGGAGGCCGCGACGCACCCGGCCGACAAGGCCAACGACCGCTCCCGAGGCTCCTCGGGCTTGGCGCCGGGACCCGGGCCGCCCCTCCGCTGCGTCCGCAGCCCTGTTCACTCGAGAGCGCTCGCTGACAGATGTACCCCGGACTGGGCTCGAGTTTGCGATCCTCTAGCCTCAGCCTCGGGGTGCTGGGATGACAGGCCTTTGCCACCGCACCCCGCCAGGGCCCTCGGTTCACCAATTACCACGAAAGAGGGCAAATTCTGCGCGGCCGCCGGTAAAACGCTCCGGGAAAGCCACAGCAGCGCGCGCAAACTCTCGCGAGAACAGCGCGCCCTCGCGGGGAGAAGGAGCGAGCTCTCGCGAGCGCGGCCGCGGGTGCCCAGACGGCGGCGCCGGGCCCGGTATGGCGCGGCTCGCAAGCCGGCCTGAGAGCCAGCGAGAGCAGGACCTACGCGCGCTCATCCGCCAGGTCACCGGCCTGCAGGACGAGGCGGACCCCAACTTCCAGCTGGCCCTGAGCTTCGCCTGGTCCAACTTCAGGTGCGGCGGGGATTCCGGAGCGCGGGCTGCCCGCGTC